AGGCAGCTCCCACTGCTGCACACACCCCAGGAGAACATGGAGGAAGGGTGCCCCTGGATCTGTGTGGGGCTGGGTGGGATGCCGCTGTGGGCTGGGGTGGCACTGGGCTCTTCCTGGCGTATGGGGGGAATTTTTTGTATTACCAAAATAAATAAATAAATCCACAACTGACCAAAAAGAAAATTGTGGAATTATCACAATGCTTAAAAACCATGACTCCACTTTTGTTACAACTCTTTCCACCAGACTATATCTGATTAGCCTGAAAAGACTATAAACTCTTTCAAGTAGGGACTATCCCTTCCTCTACATTTGTACAACATTTAAACACAAATATTTTACATTTTCCTCTACCACTGGGCTAAATAAAAATTTACAACATCTAAGCTATAGGTTCTAGGATTCACAACTGCTCAGTGATTATGGTTTATTGTCTTGGTCAAAATTTATATAATATAAATTTCAAAATATTCAGAATAGTATATCCTCCCACCTCATTATCTAAATACTTCATACCTACCTATAGAAATCATACTGTTCCATTACTGGGAAATAATCTTGAACATATGCCTCACTCTGAGAAAGATACATTGTGAAATCAGCTAGAATTTTCTCAACAGGAAGTGATTTAGTGAAGCTAGTGATATTTGAGCCAACAGATTCCAATACATTTTGGATATCTGAAAAAGTAAGCACAGGGATATTACCCTTACAAATCCATAAAAGAAATATTATATTCCACACACACAAATTTATTCAGCCACATTGTATTTAAAATAAGGAAAGCCATGGAAAAAAATCATGAAACAGAAACAGGCAAGCCACAAGGACTATTTAGCTTTCAATGTAACACAATGACATTAAGGCACACACACTGTAATTTAGCTTAATGATGAAGGATGTTGAAGTCAAGCCAGAGTTTTCTCTTTCTGTTCTTTCATTATAACATGTTTTTATCGCTTTTTATCCATCTAGCTTAAATCTTGTAATTTCTATAATACAGTAAATAGTATTACTGAGGAAGGGAATTAATTACTTGATTTATGAACAAGTAGTAGAAGTTTAAAGTTGTCTTTTAAACTATCTTTTGGAGCATACAACGTGTCTTGGGAAAGAAATTAAATAGTCTGTGTGTTCACTCCTTACATAGGAAGAATATATAATACTTAAATTTTATATTCTTTGAAAACATACTTTAAATAAATATCTTTCCAATTAATTAGTAACAATCTATAGTAGGATCTAATTTTTTGTAATTTTTGGATGAACCTGCTATTTTGAGAGTGTAATTTTAACAGCTGTATTTAACTATACAGAGATTCTGAAATATTCCATACCCTTATTGTACTACGTATTTATAAAAGGGTATCATTTTTCTTTATTCATATTATTCTTCAAGATTTTCTTCAATATCTTATTTAATCAGGAGACTTCCACTCAGATACACACACAAATCTTTTGGTTTTTTCTCTTCCCATCATACTAATCAGACCATTTTACAATTTGAGACTGGTAAATCCAGATACCAAGTTGCTTAGTTGTCTGCTCTTAGATGTTACACGGTACTCTCTAACAATATTAAGAACTCAGCTGCTCAGAAAACTGGTAGGGGAGGCATTTTTCACCCTCATTTTTAATTTGGTTTGTACCTCTCACTCAACCAACTGTAAGACAGAGTAGGTTGGTAAATGATGAAAGCCTTTTGTTTTATGAACATGAGCAGCTACGGTAGGCAAGTAATTTTGCATTTAATTTCTTCAATGAAAAACGTAAAGTTTACAGTTTTAGAAAACTTTGACTCATTTTAGGCTAATTCACACAATATGATGTGTTCATATACATAGTTGTTTTGCCAGACTTACAAGGAATAGCTGCTTATATTGGTAGAACGGGTCCAAAAAGCAAGAACAAAAATTAACACATATTAGCATACATACTCACAGACTATATTCACTGTGCTTTACACTCTAATGATTACTAATCTGTTAGTTGATTTAACCATTTGTAATGGTTGGATTTTGGGGTACTTCAGTGTAAAATGAAGTTGTTTTAGTTGAAGTATTGTTAGAAGATGGTTTTTGGGGTACTTCAGTATAAGATGAAGTAGTATTAAAGTATTGTTAGAAGAGGTTCCCCCCAATGAGATTTGATAGTATAACATAAATTAGCATAACAATGAGTTTGTAAAAAGATAATTGTCTACGTTCACATAAGAGTTGCTGTCAGCATTACAACAAAATAAAGACAGGGCTATCCAGAGACCACAAACTCCCAGATTCCAAGACTAGTCTCAGCAGAGAGAGTCAAGCATGTGTACACACAGGGCATGTTCCCAGAACCTTACTTTAAGCCACATGATTGCAGATCAGGTTACAACTGGAGCACACATTTGCCAGTGCAAGAAGCCACACCAGGAATGTGATCCAAGTAAGTGGGGGGAAGGGAGGAGGGGTGAAGGACAGGCAGGATCAGAGGCGGGGGGGCAGGTGGGAGGCTGTCTATAAGTGGGGATGGGAGTTGGGGTGGAGAGCTAAAAAGGGCTCAGTCAGGGTGGGAGGTAGGAAAAGCACAGCCCCAAGGCTAGATTGAGTGGCTGTGCTTTAATCAGCCCTGGGGCTGTGCTCCTAATGTTTACAGATGTTCACTAAGATGGGGTAAGGTTTAACCTGATCTTTGTAGTGCAACTTTGCCCAATTCAAACTCTCTGAACATATGTACTGTTTGGCATTTAGATCAACCTACCTAGGGTTGGGTTCATCTAAGCTTAACATCCGCACAAAATACATGCAGTACCCTACACCGCATTCTTAGACTTAATTATGAGCCATTGATAGGACACATACTAATTTATTAAGATCTTGTGTAGAATAATGGAACTGTCTGAGACGGTGTTTCTAGTCTAAAAAACACAAGCAACTTTCTGTTTCAGGGGTGCTCAACCTCTGGTCCATAGCACCATGTCATCTGGCCTGCAGAGCTCCCCACAGGCCCATAAATTTGGCAGCAGGGAGTTGTGGCACTGTTCCCCAAGATTAATTCTCCAGACCCATGGGGAATTCTGGGCTCTGTTCACTGGTTCTGGCACCCAATCCCAGCACACAAGGCTGGGCAAGGGCAGCACCAGGACCCTATTCCAGCATACAGGAGAGTGATAGGGAGGGAGAGATGCTGGGTCCCCAGGATCCAGTCCTGTGCGTGCAGGGGGCATGAGGGGGCAGTGCCGAGTCCCGGCTGGATCTGGTCTGCAGACAGGTCTGCACCACTCATCTGGTCCATGGGTCAAAAAGGTTGAGCACCACTGTTCTAGTTTTATACTGTTGTCAGAGATAAAACCATCCCCAATAACAAGAATACAAGAAAAGCCCCCAAGAATGGCAAGATTGTACTACTGTTTTTATTTAAACAATAAAAATAAAAAAGTTAATTCCCATCAGCCTCACCTGATAAAATATTCCTGGTCTGGTTCATCACTAAATCTGGTGTATCATTAAATGCTGCATAACCCTAAAATAAAAATGGAGAGTTAAATATTCTCAAAGCCAAATTTAAAAAAGGACTAATACCGTACATATCATAGCTTACCTGGTATGGCATGCAAATTTGAATGTCTCAGCTTACAAGAGTAAAATAAAATTAACAAGGGTCTAGGTGGCTTGGTCTCCTTGATTAGCCCTTCACTTCTGTAAATAAATATATATGTACACAGACAGATTTTTTTAAAGACGTATTTCTTTAATAGTCAGAAGACGACTATGACTCAGGAGTTCTTTCTATCCAACATGGGTCTCAAGTTTAGAAACCTCATGGGTCTCACGTTTAGAAACCTAACAACATCTAAGTGTTCTGAACACCAGTAGATTATCCTCTCCTCAGTGCAACTCTATCCTAACCAAACTCAAAAATGTCAGGTTCAAAAAAGTTTTGAAGACCAAAAAAAAATTACATGGATTTTATAGAGTGCCCTTCTATCTCAATGCACTCCTAATGAGAATATGTAACTTCTGAAGCTACTCCTTTTGGCTCAGACTAAGCCATTTGTTTTCAGGTGAAAACCATGGTATTTTATGAGTTAGTGGTCTTCCTTCTTTTATGGGTTAGTGGTCAACCTTTTAGCCTGGTAAGCCAGATTGGCAGTGCCTGGTACTTGCACAGGCCAGATCCAGGTACAGCAGCCCCTGGATCTGGGTGGGGCAGGGGGCAGGCCAGCCACAAAGCAGCCCCACAGGGGAAAAAGAGCGTGACTCAGCCCCATGAAGAAGGAAGGGGACATGGCCTGGCCCTGTGGGAAGTGGGGGAGGCAGTAAAAGAAGGTGGCCAGGTCCCAACCCAGCCCCACAGGGGGCACATGACGCAGCTCTGCAGGGGTTGGGGGGGCATGGTTGGGCACCAACCTGGACCAGCAAAAGGGAAGGGCCTCAACCCATCCTGTGGGGATGGAAGCGGGCATGGCTTGGCCCTGGTCCAGAAGTGGGAGGCTGGGGCTCAGCTGTTCAGGGGAAGGGTTTTCAGCCCCACCCTCCTGGCCCCAACCAGCTGCATAGGAATTGCTAGGGGGTGGGTGGCCATATTAATGGCTACTGCTCCCCTGCTGCCAAATTGCCTGACCTGTGGGGAGCTCTATGAGCCAGATGCGATAGCTCTACAGGCCCCATCCGGCTTGTGGGATGGATGTTGAACACCCCTCTTATATGGCACTTAACTATTACCAATGCAGCAGATTTCATGCCAGATATGCACATGGGATTTATTTAATTAAATATTTCAAAATGGTAAAGAAGGAATATAATTCAGAAGAAAAAAATTGCATTTTTATATAATCTGAAAACATACAGAATGCTGGCAGATTAAGGTTTGTGTCTCTTGCTCTCTTAGACCACCACACTAATTTTGGAGTCACACTCTCTGCAGATGTAAATCATTGTTTAATTATTAAATATTTAATCTTAAGGAGAAGTGAACAATTGTGGGATAATCAGAAGAGAAACCTACTATGAGACCAGAGTTGAGGGGAAGAAAACTTCCGCCCAAGTAAACAAAGCACAAATATTATATGGAAGCAGCACCCTCCTCCCCACCCCTTTTATTCCTAGTTAAAAAAAAAAATTATGATCCTTTCAAGAAACATACCTTTTGAACCAAACTAGAGAGGTCTATTTTAAGGACATCATTGACTTTGGCAAGCTGCAAGTTCACACTTGGCAACTAGAAAATATAAAGCGCTTTTGAATTAAATCAGCACATCAAATATATAGTACCTTACTAAATATTTCAAAGGGGATGTAAAAACAAACTGAAAAGAATATGTGTAGCACAATATTGTTAGTTCACTCCTTAAAATCCTTGTTGGTTGAAAGCAAAGCTTATCCTCAGCAAGTTTTTGGAAGATTATAATGCTGCCCAAAGCAGCACTTTAACCTAGCTGTTTGATGTGGATCTTACTTTCTTCTGCATTCAAAATGAAAATAGTAATTGAAATGGCATAGAAACATAGAAGCAGAATAGATTATTTTATTATACAAGTGACTCCACAGACTTAGTCATTAAATCACACAGGACTGCTGAGCTAATCCAATGCAACTGCCCTGTGAAAGACTGAAAAAATATTCGCTTACCCCACTATAGTTGGCATTGATACTCAGCTGATGTAATGAATTTCTGATCATGCTGCAAGTTGAAGCAACTTGAGGTGCAGAACAGGCAGAATCATTAAGTGTATTGCTCAGGTGTGCTTTTACATCTGTCAGGTTAGCATGGAGTCTTTCAGTGCCTTCCTGCAAAACCTCCACAGACACACTCACATTTTCCAATGCCTCCTTTGTTTCTCTGATGGCTACAATGATATCAAGTTGAAAAAAAAAACAACAGTTTTTGCTTAAAAGCCAATCTAATTATTCAACGAGGTGTACGCACTTAATTGAAAAAACAATTCTAGCATGGAAGATAAATTACATATTTTGCTACAATAAACCAAACACAGTACAGTTACTATTACTAAAATTTCACCCACTTCCCAAATTTACTCCTTTTTATACTCCTTCCTTGGTTCCCTTCCCTCAATTATGTTTCCATGTAGAAATATGAGACATCTGTTTCATTTTCATATACCAGCACAAGTGTGTTAGTTCAATAGCAGTTAAATCCAGGCTCTATCATTTTTCAAAACACTATTATCTGTATCTCCCATTAATTTGACCACAAGTTACCAAGTTGCACATTTCAAGTGAAACAGCCAGACCCTAATGCGAGTTTCAAGGTATTTCTGCCTTTAGATTTCACCCCAGTCATGTAAAACAAAGAAGCATTGATCAGGAGAGTAAAAGACAAAACACATACAACTAGAAATGCACGAGAAAGTATACAAATAATGAACCACACTTCACATTACACACGATTTTTGTCAAGTCTTTTACCTTTGATAGCCCTTTCCACTTTCACTTCAAGCCAATAGAGAAATAAAGCAAAAAAGGTGAATGATGATGGGTGATGAGAAAGAATTCTAGTGATGTATGCAAACAATTTCACGTGCACAGGCAGAGTAAAAGAAATAAAAGTATCTGAAGCTCATTGATAATTTTTACTTTTCTGAATAGCCACTTCAGATTCCTGAAATAGCTTCTTTGGCTTGTCCATTATCAAGATGCTTTAAAGAAGCTATTTTTTTGGCATAAAACAAGGACTACGGAAATCATCATTATGATGGGCAAGCCAAAGAACCAAGTGCATTCCCTCTAAGCTGTGTGGTGTGCATGGCCATGCAGGCACACTCATGCTAGGAGCACCTGCATGGCCGTGCATGCCACACAGCTTAGAGGGAATGCTGTGTGTTACCAAGTTCACACACACAGTCAAGATATTCTAGTTGCTGACACCTTCACAGTAATATTAATTTGATGGCACTAACCCATGTATACACTAAAACACAACAAGCTGCCCTCAGATGATTTAATGAATAGCAGAGTCTATCCTACCTGAGAATCAGATATATTACTTAAATCATAGTTCACCAAAAAAAATTAAAATTTTTGCTGTCATTCATTTTAAATAAAAGAACCATTTGTCTGGAAATAGACATGCTATACTACAAGGTAGAATATTCACTCCAAAGGCTAATTGAACATGCGCAAAATGAATCACCAACCTGTGGGTACAATGCAACCACAGTTTTACTAAGAGTTCTACTGTATCATGCCTCTGCAAACTTATTGCTACAACCTCAAATCACTGGTGCTGCAGGAAGTGGTGAGGATGGGAAACTTAAACAGCCAAAACACAGTATTCAAACACTTGTAATTACCAAACGATCCACCATCCCGTATCCTGACAAAATTTGCAAAAAGCAAGATGGAAAGAGCAAGACAGAGAGATACATACACTAAAGGGAGAAGCTTGTAGAATGACAAATGAGCTCCTGTTCGTGGAATAACATTTTGTTGTAGGAGCAGTAGTAGAAGTAGTAAAGGAGTTATGCCTTTATCCCTATTAAAATCCATGCATAAAGGTCTCATTTCACTTGATAATTATCAGTGCATACAAATGAACACTCTTGTGTTGTGAAACAGGGGGAAGATGTCTCTCTTTGTAAGAAAATATAAATAATAAATAAATAAAAAGCAAGTATGTACATTTACCTCCTGCCATTGCTAGAGCTGCATCTAGTGCAGGGCGGACTTCTTTCCCCAGTTGCTCCTGGACTCTAAAGCCAAGCAATGGTCCAACATCTGAAAAATAAAGAAAAATAAAGAAAAACACTGCATGCCAGTTTAATACAATCACCCATCTCTACAAATTTCCACTATTTATTAATTCTTGATTTCAAAAAGTGAGCGGACTGAAGCAACACATTCATCAGTAAAGCAGAAATGTTTCAGGGGTGTAGGTTGTAGCCGTGTTGTATAAAATCCACTGTCTTTTATTAGACCAACTCAAATAGTTGGAAAAATTCTTCTCAGCAAGCTTTCAGGCACAGCCTCAGCTGGGCAAAGGGTGTTTGTGCCTAAAAGCTTGCTAAGAAGAATTTTTTCCAACCATTTGAATTGGTCTAATAAAAGATACCAGATTTATCCAAAGAACCTTGTCTAGCTAAAGCAGAAATGAACACTTAAATGTTTGTGGCACATGAATTTTGTCTCACAGGGCCACATAAAAAAGGCCAGCATTTGTAGATGGATTTTGTGAAACAAATCCTTCCACTGTCACCTACTTGTATTAGTTTGAGAAACCAGGAAATGGATTCTCCAAAACTGAAGATCACTGATAACTTTTACTTTCCTGAAAAGCTGAAAGATTGGTGATAGCAAAACAAGCAATAGCCTTTGTAAGTCTCTGGCTCTTCACTGTTTTCAGTTACAGAAAGTTCTTTGGGCAGGGCTTTTTGTTTTGAGGAAGTCATAGGGAGGGCAATTATGGCAGGAAAGTGTCCAGTACTGTTAACATTGTCAATGTTGGCTATGATTTTATTGAAGGGGAAAGTTTTTCAGTATTTCCTAAAGACAGTCAGACCCTGGATTCAGCTTCCAGAAATTTGGATGATTTCACAACTAGAACACTGGTCCCCTTTTGTCACATACTTCATTCTGGTTTTGCAACATTTCCCCAGAAAAGCAAAATTCTCAGTTTGCAGATGGATGGAGATGTGGTTTCTAACATAGCCAACCTACTGACAGCTTCAAAAATAATGACCAAGGTCTTAAGATGACAGAGAAGGTAGATAAATATTCTTTTTTTGGCAATTCAGAGAACCTGGAAGCCACAAACTAGTTTTGGAAATGCAGAGGGCAATCTCCCAACAAGCTTGCCTATGATCCTCTCCCCCTGAGACAAGAGCATTTGACGCCTGTCTAAACTGATTTAAACAAAGTGATATTATCATTCGTTTGGCATATGCACTAACATATATTAAACTTCTATTTCAGAGAAGGCATGCTGCCTTTAACACATGCTTAATTGGCCAAATTAATGCCTAATTTAGCACATGATAAATCTCTGAGCTCCAAGATGCCACAATTAGACTGGTCTATACCCCAGCCTGTTCACTTCAAATTGGCTTGGGTATTTCTACTTTACAGTATATAGACATTCCATTAAACTTGTTAGCATTTGTGACCCATCATATAGCAATACACCCTTCATTCCAGCCTAGATTAGGTGCAATAAGAACCCTTGCCAAAGTTTCTAAGTTTTGTTTAGCTTCTTAATTAAAAGCTTCAGAAATATCACTAAAGCTATAACTGTACCTGAGGGAAAAAGCAGTAATTGCTTTTCAAGTGTTCTGCAAGTGCTAGTTGCATAATGACCTCCCTCAACAATTCCCTCTGGTCAGAGGAAGAAACACATAAAGGAGTTTTACAAATATTAGGACATAAGCTTATATCTCAACATCCATGTATAGTGGGCAATGTTACAGTGGGAAGAAATCAAGGATGGAGAACTTAACTGACTGCATAGAATCATAGAAAATTAGGGATGGAAGGGAACTCAGATGGTCATCTAGTTCAACCCGCTGCTCAAAGCAGGACTGTCCCCAACTATATCATCCCAACCAAGGCTTTGTCTAGCTGGGTTTCAAAAGCCTCCAAGGGTGGAGATTCCACAATCTCTCAGGGTAGCCTGTACCAGGGCTTTATTGCCCTCAGAGTGAGAAAGTTTTCCTAATATTTAACCTAAAATTTCCTTGTTGCTACTCGAGACCACTGCTCCTTATTCTTCATCTGCCACAACTGAGAACAGTTTAGTTGCTTTGGAACTACCCTTCAGGTAGGTGAAGGCTGCTATTAAATCCCCTCAGTCTTCTCACCTTCAAACTAAATAAGCCTGTTTACCTCAGCCTGCCCCATCCCTTTAACCAGGGAGTTGTCCCCAACACTCTCTAA